TGGTAATTCACTCACTTGCTGAAACAGACACACACACACAGCAGATGTTTTGCAAATATTTTTTTTATTTGAGATTCTTGTGTTTAGACCTTTAAAAAACATAATTCCATTCTTAAAGTGATTTAAAGAATATGAGATTTTAATATTCATTTAGATTTTTTTTTCTGACTCTAAATTTTCTTTGGTCATTACTGTACATTTTGAAGATATTCAGTTACTTTCCAACTTTGAAACTTCGTCTTGTGTGTGAACTTCAGCTTTTAATAGTTCTGCACTTTGGCTTATAGGTGAAAGATTTGGTGCATGTCAGTTAAATTTAACAAGCTTCCCAAATATTTCAGCAATTACAGGATTTGACCTTAAAAAACAAACAAATATTCACGTATCAGCATTCGCACTGCAATTTCTCCAGGAAATGCATTCTCTAGTTGTAACTGTATTTTTTTTTTTTCTTAAAGATTTTTTGGGAACTTTTTATTTTATTTTGTTGAAGACGTTTTCGCTGTAGACGACGATGAAGAGCGAGTGACGTTTCATTGCTGCGCCGTCGCTTTAACGGTGAGTGACGGCAATATTGTGCGCCGGTGAAGCACAAATCCGGCGACTGACTTTAACCAGTCCGGTTGCCCAGTATTTTGGGTTAGTTTAGTGCTGTGTCCGTTTTGTTTACTTAGCACACAGTAGGCTTGTTAGTGTAGTTTTGCGATATTGGGAAGCTGCTAGCAGTGGCTTGCTCAAATCAAATCATGGCTTATATTCAGGTTTTGAAGGTCCTGCACCGAAATCTGCAGCACAGAGCACCACAGGTCAACGTGCTTATCCATACGCACAGGAGAGTGTCAACATTATCAAGACTGGCCTTCCACAGTGGACTAGAGGCTAATTCACCTGTGCTAAGCTGCTTAATACAAACACACAGACGGCGGGGTATTTGTCTCGACTTTACAGCCAGAAATAAAAGCAGCCCCGAGGACCGAGACAGGTCAGTGTCCAAGTACCAGAGTGGGAGTCCAAAGCCTTCAGCTGCACAAAAAGGTATGCAAGGCGAGGAAATAAAAAGGATATAAGTCGTGCTCATATATATACTCGGATATTAGGAGCGTAGTTTCATGATAGCCTGCTATTTTCAAAGCAAACGATTAGGGTTTGTCCGTAGGCACTGTGGAGAAAATGTACTATATTTAACCAAGCAATGATTTATTCCACTGCAGCAGCAGTTTTGGGACTAAAATATACGTGATTATTGTATTTATAATCATATATGGTTATAAACCAATCGCTCTGATTATCACCAGCAGCAGAGGAAATATCTTAAAATGACCCAGGAGTTTATTTACTGAATAACTGAACAAACACTTGCCTTTATTAGAGAGATTCTAACTTTGCTAATATAAATGAAAACTATGCACAGCTGTTGCATAATAACCCTCCACATTGAATGCCTTCCAGTGAAAGAAGCTGGCAGGGACTTCACCTACCTGATCGTGGTACTCATCGGGCTTGGAGTGACAGGTGAATACAGCGGAATTAAAAAGCCGCAGTCGTAAACCAGGCAATTCATCATCCTGTTTGAAATGACGTCTGTGTGTGTTGTCAGGTGGGCTGCTGTATGTGGTGTTCCAAGAGCTGTTTGCATCCGCGAGTCCAAATAAAGTGTATGGGAGAGCCTTCGATAAAGTCAAGTCACACCCAGAGGTATGAACGATATTAGTGACTGTCAAACATGAGGCCAGGCTAACAATGTTACAGTTCAGTATTTAAGGTCCTCTTGATGATCTTATGAGGTCATATAAAAAGTTTCTTGTTTATTGAAAATGTAGGTAATTGGTGCATTTGGTGAGCCAATCAAATGTTACGGGGAGACCACCCGTCGAGGAAGGAGGCAGCAAGTCAGGTTGGTGCTTTGTTAATTAGTCAAACAAGTTCAGCAACAAAGCCCACTTTTAGTTAAGGTAGCCTTAACATGTATAATGGCAGTCTTTGTCTCTTCTCCTCAGTCATATCGAGTACCTGAAGGATGGAATGAAGCATATGAGACTTAAGTTTTACATTGAGGGCTCAGAGCCGGGAGTGAAGGGGACAGTGCATACAGAGTCTAAAGAGGTTGGTATTCTGCCACTCAAAAGCCAGCTTATGAAATACAGCACAAGCACTGACTGACACTTCTGCGGTGAATGTTTTGTGTCTTTTCACTAGCACCTACTCAACTCGACTCTGCTCTATTCAGTTTCGGTCATCTTCAATCATATTTGAGTACCACCTCGATGTAGGTGGGGTCGTTGTAGCAAGGCGACCTGGAAGTCCCCTGGCGTTATTTGTATGTGACACAAACACAATGCAAAAATGGAGGTGTGAACCAGCACTGCACTCCTCACTCCAGGTCCTGGCATCACTAACTAGGGAGAGCATAATTAGCCAGCCACCCTGCCATTGCCCCCGAGCCCGCTGCACCACCCCTCTACACACCTCTGACACAGGAGGGCATTGAGCTAATTGTTTACCTGCTACCAAACTGATGCTTAAACTCTGCATCTCATCATTGGACCACGCTGTTGGTTTGTGTTCTTATGAAGGAGTTGCTCTCATGACTCACCCAGTGATGTCACCCTCTGCTCAATCAGTGGCTTGCGGTCTATTGATGTCATATTTTCAGCTTGACTCAGCTCGCTTGGAAATCCAGACTAATAGGTATTCAAAAAGTACCTAGTAACAAGTACTACCATCTAATAGAAAATTGAGTAATTTTCAAATTGAGATAAGCTGAGTAGGTGCTAGTGGAAAAGATGCTTTTGAGGGGCCTACAATGTAACCTACCTATCGTAGGCTCATTGTTGCCAGCATTTATGCTTGTGTGGTGTATTACGGGTAAGTTTATGTTGATGTTGTAATTATTATTCCCCATATTGAGGCAGTGATTGTTGTTCTCTCACAGTTAAATTAAAAAAAACGTGGTAAAAAAGTATTCCCAAAAAATGCACAGAAGAAATCGGCTGTACTGGACAGACCAATCACAGTGGTTGCGGGCTGTGACGTGTAGTTAGATTCAGGTGCATGTCAGGTTATGTCATAGAGTTTCAGAGGATTTTGCAGTTACAAAACTGCTTCAATGGGTAGATTTCACACTGAAGCGTAAATCCCCAGTAAGTGGCACTGTGTGTATTCCTAAAGCTTTACCTAGTTTCATATGTGATGGCCGTCACATCGCTGATGTTTTTTTACGTGTTTAATCAACCAGTTTTCTTGTTGTTGATTTTACAGAATCCTGAAACTGGAAAATATGAGTTTCGTTATATATTTGTGGACATGGATGTCTACCCAAGACGGACTATAATTGTGGAAGATAACCGATAAGGACCGTAGATGTGTGATTCAGCGCTATGGAAGCATGAGGAGTGTGTGCTAGATGTGTTGATGGACAAAACAGCTGGAGAATTCACCTTCACATAATGTCAGAGGCTGTTAAACAATTACAGCTTTGGTGTAGAGCCTTGCAAAGCAGAGATCAAAGGATCACATGGCCCCGTGCTACTAATTTATAAATGTTTGGTTTTTTACTAGATTGTGATCTTGATTTTGAAATAATATCTTAAATTTGAATAAAATAAAACACTTGGGAACAAACATACAACTGAAGCGGCGTGTGTGTGTGTTTTGGACCCTCCCAGGGAAGGAAGTATGTAATAAGTTCTGTTTGTCGTTAGCAGTCAGTTTTCAAGATATCATTTTCAAATCTTGTTCGATGGTAGATACCAATAGCAGCTTAAGCTGTTTTAATTTTAGTTCACATCAAATGTGAACTTCAGTAAAAACTTTATATTACCCACTATACTTTGGCTTCAAACTTCTCAACAATAGATTAGACCTTCATTGGGGGACCTTCATTGTAAGCCCTCCAAGGTCAAAGTTAATCTTTGGGCGGGGGGGAATTCAAGGAACTATATTGAGTAATACTTCATATGAAAGCACATGGACAGAGCTCTACAACACACTTATTAACTTTTTCAGTACAATGCCCTACAGCGTTACAATGACCCCATAAATTTTTACAAACTCACACACTGCATAACTATATCTTAAAATCTCAGGTTTCTATAGCTTGTACAGCCAAAGGTTTAAGCCAGTTTTACTCCAATCATATGGATAAAGATAATAAAAATACACAATTTTAGTATGTAATGCTTCAAGGTCAAAGGTCACACATCAGGGTGCTGTAATAAAACCAGGCTGTCGTCAGTGTGTATTAAAAGCCGGCTAAAATTAGCAAGTTTAATAAAACCAGGCTGATGTGAGCTTGTTGTAATAAAACATCATAAAGCAACCATGTTTTAGCGTAGCCTTTGTCTCTCTCGAGTGCTCTTGTTTATTGTAGAGATAATTTTCATTGGAGCTACAATTCTTCTTTCATTTGTAAGTTGTTTTGGGGGTGTAAGGTCCAATGACAATTTAACACATCTTTTACATGTTAAGCTCTTTTTTTTATATACATAAAATACAGGTCTAGAAAATATTATGGATGCTTTCCTGTCAAGTTTAGTTTATGTGTTGTGTACAGAATTACATTTTTAGAAATGAAGTATGAAACAGTCACCACTAGATGGAGGTAACGCATTGAGCTATGTACTGCATGACATGCCCTTTTTTACATTTTTGCAGGTATTTTCCATATAGAATGTGGAAACCGTAATAATAAACCAATATTAAAACTTGTCTCAACTTAATGTCTCATTTTAAGCAATGGCTAGCAAGATTGCTTTGAATTGTGTCTGTTTTTCCTCTATTATTTTTAACTTCAAAACAGTGCTAATGTCACAGGCCTAGATTAAACAGGATAAAAAACAAAAGCAAAAGCAGGGAATAATTAGAGACAAACCAGACCATTAAATGTTCCCTTAGGCTTTCAGAGGCGGTCATATATCCATAAAGCTTTTTATCACCCTATAATTTGGTACCGAGCCTATCTATTGAGCAAAAACAGAAAATATTGATATTTCACCGAGTTACAGCAAGAGGCGTTTCGTAAATCCAGTTTATCCAAAGTATATATGCATTTTTCTATCAAGGGAACAAAGTTTGATTAACAGCTTCGATCTTCTTACGTCCGAGATACTGTTGCTGGAGGTCAGCACGAATAAAAACCTCTATAAATCTCGCGTTTAATGGGTTTATGCTTCCAAATATTTGCACTGATCTCATTCTTGTGTAATACTGTATCCCATGTGTACCCAATCGTCCCTAGGACTCGTGCTACGTTCCATGACCCTCGGAAATAGTGGAATTTGTGATGGACCCCCAGTAAATCGTTGTAGCAGTTATCTTGGAAATGTCGCTTTTTATTACTGTTTCTGCGTCAGTGCTGCTGCTGAGACATGAGTCTCGTAGCTTTATATTACACGTCTGTAAATCATCTAAAAAACAGACAGATTTAGGTGTTTCTATTTTATGAAGGGGTTAAAAGTTGTTGGGTTTTTAATAATTAAAAATTATAAACCATGAACGTACCCAAGATAACGTTTCTGGTTCGCATACCGAACACGAATTAGCTTGATGCTACTCGACTCTAAATAAGTGCTGTTTCAAACAGACAACACTTGAACGGGGAAATTTACGCGATTAATTATAATAACTGCGTCCAATAATTTGTTCCCAAGATGGGGCAGTTTACGGGAAGCACGAAGACAGGAACCCTGTAAACATTTGAACACCGCCCACTGTGAAAGCGAAGGCATCGCTGAACACAGGGGCGTGCTCAGTCAGTCAGAGCTAGCTAAAACTCTGTAGGACTAGTTTAGTTGTTTCTCCAGGGTTAAGCCAGCGTGTACCTGTTGTAGTAACTAGCTTATGAACTTGTATGTAAGAGCAGGAAGGTATGCTCACCAAGCAGCCCAGTTTCCGTCGTTGTTTTGCTTGCGGTGTGGGTAAATAGTGTACGGCTGCTGCTGTTCCTGTTGTTGTTGTTATTGTGGCCTGCTAGCTCTAAACTAGCCGTAGCCTCATCTGACTCACGGAGCTCCACTCTCATCACATCCCCGAAGACGCTTGAGGGAATGGCACACCTCGTCAGCTAATCAAGAAGACCGACTTGTCGCTACAGAGTAAGTTTCGTTCTTGTGTCTGCTTTTACTAGACCAGGAAGCTATACTAACTGAGAAACCGCCGTGTTGAACTCACCATCTTTTTTTAAGTTGCATAAAAGTGCTCTGTGTGGATAGCGGCTTGAGGGTTACACATTCCATGTGAAATTGTCAATGATTAGTTAAGACAGTGCGATGGATTTTTTTTCTTTTTGGTTGAATAGCCTTGGTGAAAAATGAGTTAAAAATTGCTTTAAGTGGAAGTTTTTCCTTTTTCTTTGGGCAGGAATCTGCAATCTTCTTCCTCAGCTATGAGACTCTCTGCTTAATAATTAACATCTCACAATAATGGAGCTATACTGGTACATGTGAGTATATTGTATGTATTTTTCGTTAATTAAATACGGAGCTTAAAACTGATCCTTGAATCTGATCAACCCTCCCTTTCATTCTTTTGTGTCCTTTACAGAGTTGTCATTATATTCATTGTCATAAAGATATTTTTCTATGTGTGCTGGTACCGGTCGAGACAGAGGCAACTGGCAGCATACCTGAGCAACCCACGCAATGCTCAGATAGTCATTGTTGGAGGAAGGGCCTACCTTCATCAGATGTGTGAGAGACAGAGCGTAAGTGCAGAACCTCCAACACACATGAACTTGCACCTCACAGCGCAAAAATCCGGCTGTGAACTTCTGAAGTGGTTTCACACCTTAGAGGAAGTGACTTTATACACAAAAGTTCAAGGGTGTTCACAGTGAAGAGGACCTCCTCATGCTGGCTGAGAGACTGGAGCTGAGTGAGAAAGAGACAGTCAAATAAGGTCGCGGTTGTGTTACTTTCTTTTTGTCTTTTTTTGCAGGGGAGTTATTTGCTTTCTCGAGAAGGCATGCGGTTTCCAGTCGAGTCACTTTTACTTCGATAGGCAGCATTTCACTTTTAGTGTCATACTGAGCAAGTTTGTGGTCGTCCATTAATAGGAACACATTCTGGTTTGAATGTATGTGGGGGTTTTCGTTGATCTGGAGCTTTTTCCCCCCACCGTCTCTGTGAGAACTGTTGTGCAAAACCCATTAAAGCGAAACGCAAACACAGGGAGTAATTTAAATGATTGTCTTGAAAAACCTTTTTTAAGATCCTACCATTTACAAACTATTCATGAGATGTATTGGGAGGAGGTAGTCTCAAATGTTTAATTTGCTTGAGATTGTGATTAGTTTACATGGTTTATTCAGGCTGTTTATCCAGCCAGCAGAATGGCTTTCATAGTTTGCTTTGAAACCTCTCATGTCTTGCCGAAACACGTGCTTTTCATGCTCATTTTAAAATTAGCTATTAAAGGCAGCCTTCTGTTTTATGATCCCCTTGAAATGCGTGTTGGATTTGCCTGTGTTTCTGTTGATGTTCTCAGGGATACGTCTAGAATAATAATGCCTTTCCTCAACTTCGGCGTGTAGCAACTGTATTCTGTGGGCTACGCCACAGGTTTAGGCATCGTGTTTGTACCTTCCCCAGGGCCGTTCAGCTTTACTGCCTCTATAAAACACCTGGAAGCAATCTCCATGATTCAGAGCTTCCCCAAAATGAGAATTATTAACAACGGTTTCTAACTCCAGACCGCTACATTCACTCCTTGTTAGGTGTTGTAAATGCTGCATGAACGGGAAAGTTAGAAACAGGCTTTGTAATAGATTATTAATTTAAATGGAAATGTACATACAGAAATTCATCTTCACCAGATTTTGAATTATTTTTCGGTGTTATCCGTCCATGTAGCAAGCACACAGAGGGATATTTTTAGTATTGTTTGAAGGACTTTTGCAACAGGAAGTGACCCATTTATAAAATAAATAATTTAGCAAATGATGCGGGGGAGACTGAGCAATGCCGAGGCTTTTGACCTTGGGCTTCCCAAGACCAATTATGATATTATGTGTGCTATCTGAACTGAAGGAACATGCAGTCCAAGACAAGATTGCCGGCTGGCTATACCTCCTTGAACTCAGCATTCTCATTTTGCTTATTCACTCCTCTCTAATCTTCCATTTGTTTCACAGTTTCTGCATTCCCCCGTTCCCTCTCCCACACTTTCCCTTTTTCTCCCCTTCCTTTTTTCCCCCTGTTCCTCTCTTTCTTCCTTTCTCTCTTCTTTGTTTCCTCTGCTGTCTCGGATATATAATGTTCCCTGTTTAGATTTTAATGGAATGTGCAGCAGGGAGACCCCTGTGGTCATCCATAACCCGGTACCCTGAAAGTTTTCTGAAGAAATGCCAAGACGACTCAGCTTCATGATGCAGCACTACTTGCTAAACCTCTTGGACAGCTGTACTCACTCAGAGACTAATATGGCAAAAAAGGACAAAAAACCCCAACCTTTTGATAGATAAAGGCCATGGAGAGAAATCCAAATGATTTGATAAGCTATGAACTGGTTTCAGTCCTCTTTTTTTTAGGCCTACATAAACAGTTTCTATTATGTAAGTGGTACCCAATACCTGGGCCATGGACTGGTACTGGATGAAAGCATTTAATTAGATTTGGAAAATACAGATCA